GGGGGTTGAGATAAGGGTGGAGCTTTAGAGAGGTGACCCACTGTTTAGGGGCTTCCAGACGGGACCTGGGGATGGGGCCTCAGGGGAGGGGCCAGCAAGGAAGGTACTTTTAGGGGGTGGGACCTGAAGAAAGTGGAGCCTGAAGGGCAGGTGCTTTGGAGTTACAGGGGAAATGTGCTGACAGGAAGCATGGAACTTTCCAGAGAGGGAGGACAGGTTGGTTTGTCATCCCAGGTGGGATCCACGGGGCCTTAGGATAACACCAACAATAACAGTAACAGTAATGTTGGTGTCAGCTGAGCACTTTGGAGCAGTAGGCACTGTGCATAGAGCTTTACCTACATGCTTTCATTCAGTTCTCACAACTCTATGAGGTAGATACTATTTTTATCTCCATTTTACAGATGAGGAAACTGAGGTCCAGAGAGGTGACACCCTTTGCCCAGATTTTATGGCTCATTGATTCAGCTCTTAACTTCCGAGTTTTCCGGGGCCCCTCGAGATCGCCAACCCCCTCCTATAGGCCAGCCCTGGCTTGAGGTGACCCCATCTCTCCTCCCTGTCCCATGCTGCAGGTGATGCGGATGACCCTGAACACCATGACCTGGCGCCGGAGGGAGATGGTGCGCTGGCTGGTCAGCTGTGCTACAGAAATCGGTGAGAGTCCCCAGGGGGACCTGGCACCCATCTCCTTGTGGAAATGAGCAGTCACAAGGGAGACTCAGAGCAATTTCCCTGACTCGGGCCTATGGTCAGGGATAGGCCATAAGGGAATGTTGGGCAGGGGAACCAAGCTGGAGAAAGGCCTGGAGGCTGGCCAGGCTAAAGTGGCTTGGAGAAAGGGCCATAGCTCCAAAGGTTAGCCCCACCCCCAGCCCACACCCCCAGTTCCCGCCCAGATCAGCTGCCCTATTCTCCTTTGGAAAGGTAAAGTGCAGTTTCTGTCAAGCCTGGAGTGGAGGCAGAGAGGATATGGCTTCAGCCGTGGCTGGTGAGGACGGCAGGCCAGGGTAGACCCATGCACACATCCACATCCCTGCCCCTCTTCCTGACCCGCGTCACCCTCTCACCTTCCCCAGGCCCGCAAGCCCTGATGAACATCATGCAAAACTGGTACTCCTTATTCACGCCAGTGGAGGCGGCCACCATCGTGGCAGTGACGGGTACCACTCATGCCACCCTGTTGAGGCTGCAGCTGGACGCGCCCCGTAGGGAGGAGCTCTGGGCCTGCGCCCGCACCCTAGCCCTCCAGTGCGCCATGAAGGACCCGCAGAACTGCGCCTTGCCCGCCCTCACCCTGTGCGAGAAGAACCACGCGGCCTTCGAGGCGGCCTACCAGATCGTGCTGGACGCGGCGGCCGGCGGCCTGGGCCACGCCCACCTCTTCACCGTGGCCCGCTACATGGAGCACCGCGGCCTGCCGCTGCGGGCCTACAAGCTGGCGACACTGGCCCTGGCGCAGCTGAGCATCGCCTTCAACCAGGACAGCCACCCTGCTGTCAACGACGTGCTCTGGGCCTGCTCGCTCAGCCACTCTTTAGGCCGGCACGAGCTCTCTGCCATCGTCCCCCTCATCATCCGCAGCATCCACTGTGCCCCCATGCTCTCCGACATCCTGCGCCGCTGGACCCTCTCAGCGCCCGGCCTGGGTCCCCTCGGGGCCCGGCGGGCTGCCAAGCCCCTGGGCGCC